AATATCTTTCATAAGCTTTAAATTTGTCTCGTCTAAATCTTTCACCGGCTTCACCTCATCCTTGACTAGGTAAAACTCCTCATCCTTGGGAGGTGGTGCCTTCATATCATCCTTAATCATAACTGAGCTGAACTCTTCCACGTTTTTGACACTTGTGATTGGCTCCAGTTTCTTAGTCACCTGACAAGAGAGAGAGATTTCACCTTAAAGTAAGTTCTGTATGTAGAGTTTTCCATTTTTTTTTTTAAAAAAAAAGAAAGCAATAGCCTTCACGCAGAAAGAGAAATCTCACAGAGACTCCAGATTGTACAATATTTACTTCTTTTTTCAGGAATTAACTCGTGATGTTCTCCAATAACTCCCATTTCATTACACTTTTCAATGAAAAGGTAGTTAGAAGAATAATACATAAGTTGTGTGATCAACAAGGTAAATAACATGGACTTATCAAATTATGTGTTGAATAAGGAATCAGTCGCCTAAATAATGTCATTTATCAACTAAGATTACAATGTAAGTGATGCTGAAATTTCTCACCATGTCATCAGGAGGAAAATTTTCAACTCCACTCTGCAATTTATCTTTCGGGATGATAGTCTCATAGGATGGCTCTTGCTTAGTAGCTCCATTAACAGGCAGCAAAACAGGTGCATTGACTTCTTTTGGACTAGAAGACTTGAAAGATGATTCTTGATTCAAAATTACATTAGCCAGTGGCTTTTCTGGGTAATCAGGTGCAATACTAAGACTAACTCTGAGCTTGGCCTCTTCAATATATTTTTCACTCTCTTTTACGAACTGCAGAAGAAAACAAAAAAACAAACTTAATGAGGATGCACTATTCTCAACAACAGGTCAGCATGCACGGTAATGAGATTTGACATCTCAAAAATCCAACTTCCTGAAGCTAATATCCTACCATGCTAGGTACAATGTCATCTTCTGTTGTTCCAAATGGTACCACCGTGCTCTGAATCAAGAACTTATCTTTGCATTGCATCTCAGGGGGAGCCGATTTCTGTGCTTGCATGGTGACTGCGCAAGATGAGGCAGTCAGGAAATATTTAAAAATAAGAAAGTCCACTCACTACTGCTCGATCATTGGTCAACAAAGAAGTGAGACTCAAGTCAAAGATGGGAAATATTCACTACTGTGCCTTTATTCATTGTTGAAATTTTATATCATTGAATCCGGATCGGCAACTATAGGGATGCAACATACAATATTACAAAGAAAAACGCAATTTATACCCAACATCTCCTGGTTCTGACCAAAATTTTATTCTTCATGTACCAGTACACAAGGAGAAGTAAATTACTTCTAGCAAAAAAAGACTGAGATGAAACACCACACTGTAAACAGTGTCTGTAGACGGAAGCAAACTTAAATACCTGTGAAATCACATGTTGATTTTGGCTTGATTATACCAACATTAGGTCTCACACAGTACTTCTTTGGAGATGTAGTCTTAACCTGCATAGTGATCATATATTCATTTCAATAATTTGTCCAAAAATAAGATACATGATTAAAAGTGTTCAACTAACCATACATATTTTAGAAGAGTCATCTTTTGTAATATAACAAAGGGCATGAGATAGAGCAACCACAAACCTTGAAAGCGACGTATTGGTCAGTGACATTGGCAAGGTGCACTGCACATGAACTCTGTTTCTTCACTTCAACTAAAGAACCCAATTGGATAGTCGGAATACACAAAGCAACAAACAGGATAGCAAAAATGTTATAAAGAGCTGGTTAAACCTATAATAAACACGTTGCTGGTTCGCAGACAATATGAAGAAGAAATAGAAGATAGCATGTATGCTAAAGATAGTAAATAATATTGAATCCTGTTCTAAGTGTGAACCATTAAGTCACAGACACGTAGTGTAGCCTGCATGCTAAAAAAATAAAATAATAATAATAATAAATATAAAAAAAATAC